TCATTTTTTATATTATTTCAAAAGATTCACTTACCAAAATGAAACTACACCAAAGAATTGAATTGTTAAACTTGTGATATTTTGTTGTTATTTTGGTATGAAGGAGAATTCAGTCTATATCACTTGTAAGTAAACAAACAAATTATTCGTTTACTACATTAACCACATACATGATCACATGGTATTTTCTTTCAGTATTCTCCTCTTTTCTTTCATATATGATCGTATCGTCTTTTTTCCTTTTCGTTATTATAATTCGTTTTTCTTCTTCTCTTTTAACTTATATCGAAATGTGTTATCCTCAAGTTATGAATAAAAGTATATGACATAGATATTTTCTTAAGATATATTGTATTTCAGAGATGGAATTAATCGTATAAATACTCGTGTTTTCTTCTTGAATCAACAAACTACTACTATGCTTTCAAACATCATCTTTCGTTTTTATCGATTAAGTTCTTTTGACTGTTTTGTAAAAGAATAAAATTTGATGTTTCATGTTTACTTCCAGCTAAATATTAAATTCGAAAGATTAGTAACAAAAAAACAGATTTTGTTTTTGGTCAAATAGATTTTTAATGTTTCATAACGAAACAACATTAAAAAATTAACCGTGAATAAAATGGAGGAAAATAAGATTTTCAATAATTGGAAATAGTTTCATTTTGTTAATTATTGAAATTAAAAATCTTCATTAAATTTTTCAACAAAACGAAATCTATTGAAAATAAAAATATTGATAAATATAATAGTTTTTATCGAAAAAGAAAAACTATGCCGAAATAAATAAGTAACATATGATCAAATTTAATAACAATTAATCGCATATCCCAAAACATTTTTTTATATATCTCAGCATCGATACACACCCATACCCCACCCTCACCTACACCTACACCTACACCCACACCCACAACCTCAACTTTGAATTCTTTTATTTGAAATTGGAATGAAGAAAATTTTTATTTCAAAAAATTCAATTAAATCTCATACGGAAACCATGAAATATTTAGTTTAATATCTTTGAAAAATAAACCAAAATTTCTTCTAACTTTTATTAAAAGAAATTAGATAAAATAACTTTCATCTGATCAAAAATCTTTCTAATAAAAAATCGAGTATGAATTTTGTATCGTTTATAAAAATTCTATTAATTTTCATTTCAACACATTTTCCTTTCGAAATTATTTTTTTTGTTTTTATTTAAACGAAAATGTTTGTTTATTTTTTTTAAAATTTCAAATCAAATTATTTTTAATTCATTTCGTTTTGATAAATTAGCTTTCAATTCAATTTTTATTAAAAAACTTTTTCAAAATCAAACAAAGTAAAATTGGAAAATGATAAAATTTGTTAATTTATTAAACAAAAATCTTTTCAACATTTTTTTCCTCTTTTCAATTTAGAATATTTTGTAAATTTTATTAAATAGAAAAAACAAAAATATTCCTTTATATTTATCGAATAAAAATATTCAGATAGAATTTAATCAAACACAAAATCTTCTTTTCTTGTAATCTTTATTTCAATTTAATTAAAATTTGAAATTCTTTTCTTTTCTTTTCTTTTCTCCTCTAATAATTCAACAAAAATAACAAAAAATGAAGAATTTAACATTTATTCGAGTTTCTTAACCAAAACTACCAAATCAAATTCAATTTTCATGAAGAAAACCAAAAAGATTTTTCCTCGTTCTTTTGCCAAAATATACCTTTTCTTCAAATTTTGATCGTTTTTTTCATTGATTTTCAATAATAAACTTTATTTTTTTTAAATCAAAACGTCATTCATAAAATTATTTCAAATTTTTGAATTCGATCATTTCCCGAATCAGCAACACATAGATTTCCTTCATCATCAAAAGATAAACTGCTGGGATGATTCAATTGATTTAATTGATTTCCTCTTCCACTTCCACCAACAACAATTTCACCTTCTTGTTTTCCTTCACACCAACGCACTACTCGATCATTTCCCCACTCTGCCACATAGATTTGACCCAAATGATCCACAACTACTCCTTGAGGATGATACAACTGATTGAGATTTCTTCCATAATCATTTCCTCCAGCCACAAGTGTTCCTTCTTTTGCATCTTTTCTCCATTTCATCACACGATTATTGTCTGTATCCGATACATAAATAGATTGATCTTCATCAACAAAAATAAAAGTAGGATAATCGAGTTGATTGAGTTGATTTCCTCTGCCATTTCCACCTGCCACTACAATTCCTTCATTGTGGTATTCTCCCATTTTCCATCGTTGCACTTCATTCTTCTCCAAATCACAAACATAAAGAAATCCGTGTTTATCCATTGCCAAGCCCCAGCAGGAGATATTCTGAATGAGAATTTGTTGATTTTGATTCAACCATTGGATCACCCGTCTGTTCCCACGATCAGCAATGATGATCGAATGGTTTTGTTGATCAACAATCACATCTGTTGGATGAGTCAATTGATTCATTAGATTTCTTTGCCTATTTCCACCTGCAATGATTTTTCCTTCTTTTGCATTATGTTTCCATTTAACAATACGATGATTCAAATAATCAGCAATGAAAACGTTTTTATTTTTATCAATAAATACTCCTTCAGGGCCGTTGAGTTGATTTAATTCTTGTCCTCTCTCATTTCCACCAGCCACAGTAATGGCATTTTGTTTCCATTTCTTGAATTTTGATTCTAAAAAATGATGAAAACAAAAGATTTTGAATGAAAAGAGATGATTAGTTTTGAGTGAAATGTTCATGAACATGTTTAATGAATAGACAAATTGTATTAGATTTTTTTCTTGCTCTTCGAAAAGAGTTTTAATAAAAATAAATCTTTTTTTGTTTTTTTTGAATATAATTTCGCCAAATGAAATGAAGAAATATTTTGTTTAAAAAAAAAAAAGAATTTGAAACTTATTTTTTTCCGAATCGAAGTTTTAAAGAGAAAGATAATTTATTTTTAAAACAAATTTAGAAATTTTTAACTTGAAAAGAAAATCAAAATTGAAAATGAGAAAAAGATTTTGTTGATTTATTTCTGTGAAATAAAAATTTGCGAAAAAGAAATCTTTTAGAAAATGTGTTAATAAAAAAATACAAATAAATTATTAAAAATCTAAAATATTTCAATTAGAAATACGTTTTATTTTTTGCTTTTTCTTATTGAATCAACATTAAAATAATAAAGAAAAAAGGAGAACTTTGATTAATTTTTAATAATCTATTAATTTACATTTTTAAATGATAATAAAGAGTTTCTAGAACGTTTACATTTGCATATTTTTGTTTTAATTAATAAAATCTATAAATATAGAACATCTGTTGATTTCATTATGATGATCAATATGTTGAGAATGTCAGAGAACAAAGGAAACCAATAGTGAAAGATGATTTATAAAAGAAATTAAATTAAAATCGAATAGACTAATCGAAATAAAACAAAATGAAAGAGAAGAAATAAACAATATAACTAAGATTTCTAAATTAATCACATAAGCTTCAATGAATTCAAATCAAATATAATCTCTGCGTATATTTATCAGACAATATCAATTTTCTATTTATATTAGTACTATTGTCAGTAATTTAGTTTATAAATAAATCAATAATATTCTCAATTGCGTTATCTTCTTTAACATTACTTTTCTTTTAAAAATAATTTCTTAAAAACTTACTTTTCGATAAAATAATTGAAATATCATTGATAAGCCGTTGTGAATTTTGTTTAGCAGAAATACTTGATGGATTATTCAATTCCTCTGTAATTTCTATTAATTGATTTCTTAAATAATTTAAGTTAGTTTCATTAAATTCATTTTCTTTACGAATTTGTATTATTTGCTCATTTAAATCATTAAATTTCGTTTCAATATCATTAAAAAATGTTGGTAATGATTTATTGAAGATTTCTCTACAATTTTGTGCTTTTTTTTGAATTATTTCAATTGATTGTATTTCCCATTGATTAATTTGGTTCATTACTGAATGATTTTGTGGATTTTGTTTTTGTTCATTGATTGTTTGTTTAAATTCATTATATTCATTGGTGATATGATGTAATTCATCGTTTAATACTTGACGATGTTTTTCTAAATCCACAAAACAAAATCTTTTTGAACATCCTTCACACGGATATGTTATTTTTTCTTCATTACATATACAACATAGTGTCTTGTTATTTGCCATTGCGATGTGTTTGAATAGAAGTTGGTAGAAGAAATGAATATATTGTTATCTATTTGTATAAAAATAAATTTAATAATTTAATGACAATAAGAACGTTGTTTACTAATAGAAGAAGTCGAAAAGAGAAGTTTTCTTAAGGCAACAATTCCTAATTGAGAGAAAATTCTACTGATAAAACTGATGCTATGTCTAAGATGATTGGATAAAAGTTGGAAATCGATTTGATTTTTATTCAAAATAAAAATTCACACGATTTTTGTGATCATGAATGATTATGAGAATTGATTCAATCATATTGAGACCCACTTAGAGCAGGAAGATAAATTCGAAAGCTCAGACTCAGTTGTGTTAGTCCCCATATCAATATATCTTCTATATATCTAATACTTTCTTTTCATTCTTTTCATTCTTTATATCATCACTGGGAGAATTATTTATTAGGTCTGATTTGTCGTTGCTGATTGACTCACGACAGATTAAAACACTATTAGTATCTTACAAATAGGAAATGAAGCAATAATACTATTTTCTTCAGTGCCTTTTGAAAATATATAATCTCATCACCGAAGAAAACGTTGCATAGATACTTACTAAACACACATAAATACGAATGAAAGTAAAAAAACAAATATAAATATGATATTTTTTCTCTTCCTTTTTTTCCTTTTGAAAATAACCGTGACAAATGGTTAATTTTTATTTCGTCATTATTTTTATAATGTAAAATGAGGATATATGATGTATCTGTTTTCTTTCTATGCTTAATAAAATTTCGTCATAGAAAGGTAAAGAAAAAAACGGAATATAGCAACAGTGAATCATTATTTGTTTATCATTTGGAAATAAATATTTCGTTTATGACAAAAAGAAACAGTTAGTTAAGTTGGAATATTCTACATGAGAATGAGTTGGAAGACAAGATAGTAGGAAAAGACCCACACAAAATTAAGTCATATGACAAAAACGAAACAGAAACAAACTGATAAAATTATCTAATCCATTAAAATTCTATTAGATTATTTTCTTGATTTTCTAATCAATCATCAATCACTTGAAACATTCATTGTGCATCATCAATATGAATGAAGATGAATCTACTCGAATCTAACATAATTGCGAGCAATTTGTTAATTCAAGGAAAACAAACTTTGTAGGGTTTGAAAAATGACGTATCACTGAATGTCAATCGATAATAAATGATTTGAGATCACAGTGAATTAGTCGAAACTTTGAAGAATTATTTTTATCCATTATTGATCAATTTATTTTAACAAAAAGATTTGAATATTAATTAATCAGACTTAATTAAATACGCTCTGAACTGTTTCATTAATAATGGATAGCCAAATGGTTTATAAGATCAAAAGATTCATGCTCAACTTTCACCGAATAAGTTTCAAAAATGAATTGAAAGTTTATCGTCGATTTTCACTCCTATTTTATCGTCTAAATCTTCTGCACAAAGAAATGTATCTGAAATAAACTTTAAGAAAATGAACATAGTGAAAAATACATATTAGGTAGTTTGTCAAAATGATCAGTCTCTTCGAATACCATCGAATACTGTTGTTAAGGATAGAGATGAAGAAGAATCAACAGAAGAAAATGGACTTATTTCAAAGTACGTGTAGGTGTGGTTATTGTCTTCATTTATCATACACCCCACATTCACACCCTCATCATTTAATGATAATATTTATAAAAAATAACTCATATTTTTTTACTTTGAATTTATTCAAATTATCATTGTTAACATATGAAAATCGTCTAGTGAACCAGTTTAATAATCTTTCACTTTTGAACAATAAAACTAAGTCATCAATTAATACAAATTTATCTTTTAGGTATTTCATTTTTCTTTGTTTTATTCAAACCATTGCCAATTTTTAAAATCTTATAAAATGATAAATAATATTTATCAACTCATGCATTGTTATTATTATCATTAAACTTAATATATCAATATACAATTTTTAATGAAAATAAAAAATTAATTATTTTCAGAGAAAATTACATTAATAAATAATCATTGAAAATAATTTTATTTAAGTTTTTCATAGAAGTATTTCAATTTAATAATAATTCAATAAATTGATATAGAATTTTTATCTTTACAATAATTCATCTAAAATTTATTTTGATTTTTTCAAACAAAATACATTTTCCCACAGCTGAACGTACTATTGACAAACGAATCTGATAATATTTTAAAATAAGATTTCGAAATTGATTTCATCATCTTTATCAAATTTAACTATTTTTAATCTCATACGAAATGTTTTTTATTATCTATAAAAAAATATTCAAATTATTTCTTTAATTATGCTAATCATATAGTTTTTCTTATAAAATTTAACATTGAATTGTCAATATAGATTAAGTAATAAAAATATCTTTAAATGCTTTTTATTTTCATTAAATTTCAATGA